TTGATATGTATCTAGAAACTTTTCATTTTATGATTTTAATGTATCAAATTGTTATTCGCAAGTATAAAGGAATGACTCAAATTGTAGGAGCCAAGAACAGTGTATATATTTTTTTGGGTGTTACTATCTACACACTTCTTTTTATCTCCCACACGCTTCTCTCAATTTTTTGTCATTCAATCGAATAAATTGAATAAGATCAAATGATAGAAATTAACCAAGGATGTAGTGAAGTAAAAAAGATAGTGTCTACATCCCACTTTATTTTAAGCTACCAGTCATCATTGATTCAAGTCCCTCTTAGTCCTCAAACACTGACATTAATTTCAACTTGGTTTGCTCTACAAAGTTCTAATATTTTTATCTAGATTGGACGGTAGCTCCCCACGTGAGTAGATCCCATTAAGATTCAAAACCTTAAATTCGTAAAACAAATCCCAATAGTTACATAGACATGATGTTATAATTACTCATAAAATAATCACATGTTTGAAATCTACAGTGGGATAAATGAGTTGATTTCCAAACCCCTGTGAATTGCAAGTTATATATAGATAGAGAATTTATATTCTAGGGTTTCACTGGGACTTGGAAGAAAGTGACTGTAGCTAGAAAATGAAAAACCCCAGAGCAGTTACTAGCTAGACCACCATTTCGAGTTTTTGACAAGTACTGCTGGAATCTACACATTTTTTTCACCTACAAGTGCTAGCTTATTATTATTTTCAGTTGAAGAGATGTAGGATTAAATAGAAATCAGAAACAGAGAAAGACTTTTAAAAAGTAGGTGGAAAGGGAAGGATGGTCGTCCACAGTCCACAGGATGACATCTGCAGTGTGCTTTTCCTTGCCCCCTCTCCGATCTCTTTAAGTATTATTTCTTGCAACCAAAATACCGTCCGTTCAATACATACTTGCGTACGTATCTTTACTTACACGAGATTATCTCTCCTCCTCGAAGATTATATATCAGTCTTTAAAACCCTTATCACAACTTCCACAGACTTCACCACCCAAAATCCAGAAACCAAAACCAAGACCTTCAGTTCTCATATCCTTCTGCACTCACTCACATTTTCTTTAGAAATTATTTCCACTACCATGTCAATGTCCACCTCCCAAGCCCTAGAAAAACCCTTCGAAGCTTTTGAGCAAGGTCAGGCACAGGTGGGTATTGCTGCTGTGCTGCAGAGAAGCACACTTACTCCGTCCTCTCAATCCGGTGAGAGAAGAGGAAGGCGAAAGCAGGCCGAGCCTGGGAGGTTTCTCGGTGTGAGAAGAAGGCCTTGGGGGAGATACGCTGCTGAAATCAGAGACCCTAACACTAAAGAAAGGCACTGGCTTGGCACATTTGACACTGCTGAAGAAGCAGCTTTGGCTTATGACAGAGCTGCCCTCTCCATGAAAGGCTCACAAGCAAGAACCAACTTCATTTACTCTGACAACACAACTTTCCACTCTCTCCTCTCACCCTTTGATGTCCAAACCCTATTACCACAGCAATCACAGTTTTTCACCACTCAGACTGCTAAACAACAACTCACCAATCAAAACAGTCCACCTCATCATTCTAACACGTTTCAGTCTGATCAAACCCAATTTCAAAACCCTAATAATATTAGGTCATCATCATCGGCACATCATGAGGATGATGAGTGTTTCTTTTTCTCTGGCAATTCGAGCAATTCTAACTCGGGCTATTTGGCTTGCATTGTTCCTGATAGTTGCCTGAGGCCTCCTTCGGATAATGACGACCCCCAAAATTACACAAACTCAAAAGCTTTGAACATTGATCAAAATTGTAGCTTTGCAAACCCTAATAACTCCACTAGTGCTACACTTCCTCTAGATGTTATGAATGTGCAAGCTGATTTAGAAACTCCTAATAACAACAACAATGGAGATCATCAGATTTCTTGCTCTGATGGATTCAGTCATGGATTCTGGGATAACCAGCAGCCATGGGAGTTCAATCCTATGATGACTGAAGATGGATGCATGGGAGCGTTGTATCCAATCGTCGAAAATTCGAGTGCTTATGGATCTTCTTCTTCATTCTCTTGCTTTGGACACTCACTCACTCTTTTGATAAACTTTTGGAGCGTACGTGTACCTATGGATTTATCAATTAATCATTCAATTTAACTATTTGCACTTACTTTTCTTGTGTCCTGAGCTTTTCTTGCAACCCTTTTTCTTTCATTGTAATTTCTACGTCTTTCGTCACATATATATATATTTTGTATTTGATAATATTAGCTACTACTTTAATGGCTTTATTGCATAATATAATAGCTGCATTATATGTCTATCTTTACGGCTATCTGCCTGGCCTTTAATTGACAACGTAGCCTAACAAAAAGACGCATGCAACTTAATTTGGATGCAGAAAGAGACATGGACCGATAAGGGCTAGTTTGGTATCTTATTTGAAATTTTTTATTATTTCTCAAAACATTTCTTAAAACAATTTTCTTTAAGATTAAAAAAACTTGATTGGTTTGCGATTTCAAAAATTTAAATCTTACGACTTAAACTAGACAAAAAGATATAAAAAAATGGGGTCGCATGAGAGGGAGAAAGAGGATAGAAGAGGAAAGAAAGTAAGAGATGATTGAAGGAAAGAGAAAGAAGAGAGAGGATCGGACGAGATAGAGAGGAAGATGAGTGAGAGAATGAAGAGAGCGGATTGAATGAGAGACAAAAATGTTAAAAATAAAAAAAAAGAGGAGAGAGAAAAAAGAAAAGAGAGAGATTTGGAGTGAAAGGGGAGGAGGGAGAGAAAAGAAATGAGTAAGTTTAAGTTTAAAAACTCTAGAAACTCATTTTTTTATGTTTTTAGAGAATAGACTATATTTTTTAGTTAGTCTTGAGTTCAGTTAAATAGTCCTACCAAACAAGTTTTTAAGGCCTAAAATTTGAAAATTGTTTTTGAGTTTAAAAAGTTGGATTCAAGTAGAGTATCAAACATGTCCTAAGCTTCTTAGCCACACAAGTGCAAAGTATTAGTGCTTTCGCAATAACGATTCTAGCTCTTTTGTTTTGCTTTCTAGTTTCTATGCTACACAAAGTTGTAGTTCATATGGGTACTCTTCAACGAGCTTGTAGATTAAATGGTTATTATCATTCGCTCATACATTCTTTTGGTCAATTTTTTTTCTCTCAATATCACTCGTATCTGAAAGTGATGTATTACAATGATTAAAACTCGACCGTCGACTTATATTATAAGGTGACCATTTATAGGGAATAATGCATAGTACCAAAATTGACTTTTTAGTGTAAAAATGTGGTTTTTCGTTAAAGTGAACAGTATCAGGAGCTTTTCGTTAAAGTTCCCTAGAATCTATATATTTATGCGCCTAAATTTATGGAAGTAAGGGTAACATACAAGACCCCTCCTAAATATATCTCAAGAGTTCTTGTCCACGCCAAGATTAAAGTAGGATACATAAGCACACTACATTTTAGTGCTTTTTGTCCCCTTGGTTTTCTCTTTAGGGATGCTCATCAAGCACTAATGGTTTGGAAGATAATGAAATGAGATCCATTTGGCCAACACAGTTCATTGCCTTCAAACCTGGATTCGTCTTGTCTCTTTGTCGGTCACTCCATCAAATGAATTAGGCTGTGGAAAATGTGACTCATTATATAGCTGTTTGGAATGCTTAGCAAATTCCTGCATATATAAACCCCATGTCAATGAAATCTTTTTTCCTTGGGAATATCTTGAGCTCAATCATATGGTAGTTGGGCAAATATTTGGGAGGGGTGTGAAGACATGACCAAAGCCATAATGTTCCTAAACTCGCACATCCCATCAGTTTCAATCTGAGTCCACATTTAGAATGGAAGAAGTTTTAAGGCAAAACTTGTACCCTTTGATGAACCAGATTGCAGACGTGGGCGTAGTCACATTGATTAAAGCGAATGTATTCTCTCTTATGCACTGAAGTTCAAATCACTTTCCTATTATTTAGTGTAAGGTAGAAAAGGGGATGAAAAAGGATTTCCAACTTGCTAATTCGGTTAAGGGCCATGCTGCCATATATCAAACTGGAAGAGTAGTCAACAAGTACCCAAAACAAAGGGTAGTGCATGCTCATATATATATATATATATATATATATATATTACAAAATGATACATATATTAAACTACTCTAATATATAAGGACGACGTATTTAAACTTAAATACAAGGGGAAGGACACAGTTCTCTTACCCAACTGGTCTGACCCTCATGCAATCTGTGTCTGAAATGGTCAAACTGTATCAAGAAGCAACTTGATATGAAAAAGAAAAAATAAAATAAAATCATGAACATATCATCCTTTTCTTCTAGTTTGACCATAGTTGATCACATTCATTTTCATAAACCTTCAACCAAGATTGACCTACCTGCCAATAAGTTCAACAGTAATTTGGCATGTATGTATGTATGTGGGATAAAATGGAAGAGAAAGATTATTACAGAGTCAAGAGTGCTTCTTCATATATTTTGTATTTCATAAACATAAAATTTATGAATAACATGGTCAAGCATTTCAATTGACACAACAGCATATAAATATGTATATGATGATCCCACAGAGTAGCAACCACTGCGATGCCTTCTTCTTTGGGTCTTTACTTTGCTTCTGTTTCCGAAAATAGACCTTGGACAAAAAGTGGGGGAACATGAAATCGAACTCCCATGCTTTAACTGAAAGCTCGTTCCCCAGTTTAAAAAGGAAAATTCAGAAAAGGACAGACATGAATACACGGTCATTTGAAGGGCAAGAATGCCATGGAACTAATGTATTCGTTCTGAAAAATGATGGAGCACAAATGAGGATAACGAGCTCCAAAATTGGAGATGGACACGGATTTGCCTGAAGGAACCGCAGATTCTTTCGAGGTTATTGAAGAGAAAGCTGGGAAAGCTATATGGGGTTTTTGCTAAACTTTTGGAGGTCGGCCATGGCTTATTTGGGATAAAAGGGATGGCCGTATAAAGATGATATAAACACAGAGATGAACATGACTGATGTATGCTAAGGCATTGAGATATGAAGCCCTCTGTTGGAGGACTTGAAAAAGGGAAAAAATGATGCTGTGGGAGAAAGTTGATAAAAAAGGAAGAATGAAAAATTGCTTGACATTTGCTTTAGCTTGAACTATTGAGACTCTGTATTGTTGCCACTGCCAACCGAAGGACCAGAACCCTGAGAAGACTGTTGGACACCCACAGGGGTAACACCACCCTTAGAAACAGTTGAACCTACTGATCCACTCGAAGTGCTCAGCGACGAAGACATTCTGGCTGAAACTAATTCCTTTCCAGAGCTTGAACTAAGCTCAGGCCGCAACTCTGAGGACGCGGATGATGGGGCTAGTGTACCAATTGATGATCCCACTGGGTAGGGTGCAACTGGCATATCAGCAAGAGAAGACGTTGATGAGCTGTAACTGAGTGTTCCAATTGGGTGGTCAAATTTGCATGCGGGTCCAAACTTGCATGCTCCACGTTGTTGATAGTGAGTGCAAAGTGGTGCACCCTGTTTATCACATGGAATTTCAAATTCACAGCAGAAAAATTAGCATGCGCAAGAGGAAAGGTGCATAACTTACCAAGAAGGCATTCACAGTACAAGAACATGCAAGAAAGAAAACTGAACAGACTTCATGTTGAGAAAGAAGGCGAGCATGTTAAGTAGTAAAAATAAAGATCGTAACAACCAACACATAAAAGTTGTATAATGCGCAAGCAGACTTCACAGACACTATCACCTAGAAGAATAAAAAATAAAAAAAAACATAAATGCAAGGAAAATAAGAAACCGAAGGGGACCCATAATTAAGTGACACTCCCCAAAATAGACCCTGGGTCCAAAAATTAGTATGATACGGATAGCCCTGACAGCTGACTTACATAACTTCAAACCAAATAATTACCAACTATCCAGCAGCAGACAACATATTTGTTTCAGCACATATTTCCCACAAAAATTAAGTGTTGCTATGTAAACAAGCTGATGGCTGATGTCTATTAAAACAATCATAATGCAAAGGATTTGTAAGGGTGGCTCACCGGGCGCGAAGGAAGACCACTGGAGCTAAGGACAACAGTTGTTTTTGGTTGAACAGCTTCTGGTGGATGATGATATCTACATGAGGAACCAAATTTACAATCCCCTGTTCTCATGTAATACGGGCATTCTGGTTGACCAGGTCTTTCTGGAAATGAAAGCTCCTTCTGGCTAGTAGTTGGAAGACCAAAAGAGGAAGGTAAAGGTATAGGCTGATACATTCCGGTATATGCAGGCGCTGAAGGCGATAGTTGAGTATAAAGTGTCCCAGAACCAACACCAGGTTGAGTACTCGAGGGCAATTGGCTTGCCTGTGTCTGCACCACATGACTAACAGCTTAAGGGAAATTCATGTAACTAAAAAGATAATGGAGCAGGAAATGTTATTTACCTGATACGGATTCCAACCTGGAAAAGGAATTGTGCCCGGGGAAAGTAGCACTTGACCATAGGGGCTTGGAACATACGACCCCTGTAGCAAAGGAGGCCTTGCAAATACTACTCCATACTGTTGTGATGAAATAGATGGCGATTGCACAGTTTGATACAATGTGTGTGCAGCAGGTACAGGTGAAACTTGAGGTGCTGGTGACGGCACTGGAAGCTGTATGCCAGCCGGCTGTGGATGATGGAATTTACAAGTTGCACTGAACTTACACTGTCCAGTTTTCACATAGTAGGAACACTCTCTCTCACCCTGTTTTATTTGCAAAAAAAATCCACGGTTGCAATACTTTAACTCACAGTCGTGAAATGGGACTTACAATATGACATTTTGAAGAATTAGAAGTTCAAATTTGAGAAATACATACCGGCCGCAATGGATATCCATAATAGTTTAGCGAAACAGGGCTACCAGAGCTTCCTCCCTGCTTAGGATGGTGGAACTTACACGAAGCACCGAATTTGCAAGTCCCTGTCCTCATATAATACTGCCATTGAAAAATTACAGTACAATCAAACAAAGGGAATTCACATATTTTCAAAACAGACAAAGCATGCAATCATCAATAGAGGACGTTACTCCATGCGGAACACATAAGACTGGAAGCTGAATATGTGATCTGCTGGAATCACGTAAATATATACGATAACAAGACAACATTTTGGCCTAAACCCCAAAAAAGGTTAAGTACCTGGCACACAGGCTGCCCCGCTCGCTCAGGGTACTCTAATCCTCCGGGTCTTGCCGCTCCGGTAACCTGAGAAACATGTATCACTCAAACTTTACTTCTAAACAGGTAATCATATGAGCATTAACCACATAGATCTTAATAAAAAAAAGTTACAAATTTCTCCGCAAGGACTTGAAATTCAACAAATTCAGAACAATCCCATTAATCGATTTGAATAAATACCATAAACTTGATCATCAAATCTACAGACGAAAGCCACGATATCTCTACTAACACACAAGATCAAACAAAATTCGACCCGAAAACGAAATCACCGCACTGGAATCAATCAATCACGATCCAATTGAGCCCCAAATTCAACCAATTGAAGCGGAAAAAAAGGGGTAATTCAATAAAATTACCGTGCTGCGATCACGGGGATGATTGTACCGACACCGTGAGCCGTACCCACAAATCCCAGTCCTCAAGTAATAACTGCAATCGGCCTCGTCGGGTCGCTGGGGGTACGATTCCCCGGGACGGAGCCCCAACTGCCACATGGACTCTGCATTATCACAAAAACCAAAGGATCAAAACCCAATTTGTAAAAACGGAGCCGCATTCGCCCCAAAACCCACCAAATCGCAATCCCCAAAACCCGAAATCGAATCCGAATCCGAATTCGAACGAAATTGAAATGCAGAGTGTTTTGGGGTTAGAAAGGTCTCACCTTCCAGCCGTGTTTCGGGTTCCGGAAAGTTCCACTCCGGCGGCGGATCGGACTGTGACCCTTCTGCGGCCCGACCGTACCGCTCCATTGTACGGTCACACTGAAATCACTTCGATTCTTCACTTAAATATCTCGACTTTTTCCACAATCTCTCTCCTCTCTCTCTCCACTCAATCTCTATCTGTACAGGGAGAATGAGAGATTATGATCAAATGGGGTTATCAGTGAGATGGAATTCTGAAAAGGGTCTGGATTTTCAGGGCTCCTCTCTCTCTCTCTCCCTTCACGCACACACACACACACAAACACTGTATGTGTGTCTCCCTCTGTTTTGGTTTTGAGTTCCTCTCTGAGTTTTCAAACCCTTTTTTGGTTTTGTTCTCTTACTTTTCTATCCTCCTTAATTTGAGAGGTTACTTTTTCTTCTTCTTTTATTTATTTAATCTCTCTCTCTCCCCTCTGAGTCTGAGGTCCGTTGATGGTTTATATACGCGCCAAACATACAACAACATTACCATCCATTATTTCTTTTTCCTTAATTAAATTATTTATATATATAATTAATTTAAATAAATCATAATAAATCAAAATGAAACGAGAACCCATAAAGAAGAAACCAGCACTGCCCATAACAGGTAAACCATGACAGTTAGTGGTGGTGGAATGTTAAAATGACTGTAATGCCCCTGTCTTTTCGACATGTGACTAAAAGAGGTCCATGCTGGCAAGATTTTATTACGGTGTCCTCTGAGACAGGGAATGATGTGATTAAACTAATCCTCTGCAGGTTTATTGCCCAACAAAACCTTCTTCAGATTTTTTTTTTTTTTGTGAGAATTTTAAAGATTCGTAAATCGTGTCTGTTAGTTTTTGTTAAGTGCTGTTTGTATATAATTTTAAATAAAAATAGTTAAAATGATTTCTGACCGCACGATGTACGATGAACGAATATGATTCATGGATTTCCAATATCCTCACAAAGAGGATCCGAATTTGTTTACTGCAAAATACATGCCATGGTAATAGGAATCCAAATTATATAAATGAATGAGAAGTGCTAAGAAGATTATTTCAAAGTGAGACTATTAAATGATTTTATGTTATTTTACCGTTTAACGTCAATTCTCGCAACATTATAAAATATTGTATAAAAAACAAAAATTTATGAAATTTTTTATTTTTAAGAATCTCTTTAGTATTTCTCATCAAATCAAAACAAAAAATGAAGTTTGTAAAATTTTATATTGAGACTGATGGTCATGTTGTCTGCCCAACGTGGCAAGGATCAAAAGATCTAACCTTAAATTTGTCAAACAAAATGCATACTTTTACATAATCTCACTTTATATATAATGACATTTTCTGTAATATGGAAAATAGTTTGATGATAGAAAATTACAAGTTGAAGTTTATCACTCGAATACATGCATAGGAAATAAGGCGTGACAGTCTAATACGAGTTTTTTTTTTTTTTTTTTTTTTTTTTTTAACAAACGATATTATTTATATTAAGAGATAGGGGATGTGGGGAGGGAGGGGAACAGGTGGTTCCACTATGGTTGGATTCCAACCTGTTGCCCAATCCAAAGGATTCAGGATGGCATTGCGTCGGATCTTGTACATAGTGGAACCACCTGTTGCCCAACCCAAAGAATTCGGGATGGCATTGTTAAAACACATTGCCACCTAAGGAAATGGACAAACCAACGTACCCAAATCATTTCTATGTGGGTTGGATTGGGCGAGTTCTATAGATTGGGTCTAATTGTTTTTTATCTTATGTCTAATGTGAGTATGAATGACAAATATTCAAGTTGACGTTGTGGAAACATATTGTCACCTAAGCAAATGAACAAACGCACCCACCCAAACCATTTTTAGGCGGGTTTTATGAATTTCGCCTAATTGTTTGTTTCCTTATGTGTAATGTCAGAATGAGTGACAAATATACATAGGTCGGGATTGGCATTGTTGAAATGCATTGTCACCTTGAACAAATATTTAAGTGGGTTGGGTTGTGCTGGTTCTACAAGTTTATGTGAGTATGCATGACAAATATTCAAGGGTCGTGTTATACTAGGCACAAAACATGTAGATTTGGTGTTAGAATCTCTACATGTTACTTAACATTGAAATTTCATCATATTTAATCATTCGATTCAAGTGTAAATACACAACTGAAATTTCATCATATTTAATCATTAGTTTAGAACTTATAATAATTTATACTAGCATTGTCTACACACTTTGTGTGTATGAACACATTTTTTTAGAAAATGAGGAGAGAGAGAGAGAGAACGTGGGGGAGTGAGAGGTTTTTGTTTTTGGGGGCTATTTTTTTATTTTAATATCACATGTAGGTGAGACTTTAATAAAAAATAGTAAAATTTGGACTTGTGAAATTACATTATTGCCCATCATTTTTTTTTTTTTTTGTGTGATAGAAGACTAATTTGTCTTTTCACCATCTTTTGGTTGATAACTAGGGTTTCATTAATTAGTAGAGATTCATTTTAGTAAGAAACAACTAAAATTCAAACTAGAGGAAGAAAAAAAACTCCTCAATTAAGGTTCAATAGAAGTCGATTACAATAACAGTTGGAAGAAAAAAATAACATAGTTAACGTTACACCAAAATAACAAAAAATAGAATAACAAAGTAAGAGATGTGGTCACTTAGTTAGTACTACAGTCTAGTGGTATTTATTTTCATTTTTAAGTGAAATGTCTTAAATTCGAATTTCGAAAATAACGAGGTTGCAACCAATTTATTCTTATACCCCCTTAGTGTAAATATATCATTGTACTAAAAAAAAAAAAACCAAGAGAAGTGTGACAAGAGCTCAACCCATAAACAAAACTAAGAAACTTTTACAAACCCAAAATTTAGCGTTCCAAATCACAACTACATGCGTCAGTTGCAAAATGACCACCAAATCATACTAATTACATTTTTTATTATTGTAAAATTATTTAAAATGGAAAAAAGATTTTATGAGCGCGTAGATAACGGTTCATTGAAATTGACCATATTAACGTCATGCTTACGTAATACACTTGCATCCTCCTTCAAAACTGATGAACTAGCTTGTTTGGTGGCACTGTCCACTTGTAATCTAACCATATGAGAGTAGAGATAATGCTTCGTTTAATCTAACCATATTAACGCCATACTCACGTAATACACTTCAATCCACTATTAAAAAAGAGCAAAAAGAATTTTATGAGCATGCTGCAGATGATACTACCATCACAACATAATGGTTGTTGGCATCTCGTCAACAAAGAAAACAAACCAAATACAGCATAACCAATTAAGCACCTTGCACACATGCAGCGCACTTGTTAGCAACGTTACACTAAGATTAATCTATGGAGTTTTAACGAAACATTTTTGGTATTGTTGACTTTTAACAAAAAATATATTTTTACTTTAAAAATCACTCTTGATACTATTCACTTACAACACATTTTTGTCCTTTTGATTAAAACCCATAGTTTTTAAACTTTTTTTTATTATTTTTCCTATTAATCTCATCATATTATCGTCACGCTCACATAATACACTAGCGAGTATCCGAATATATATTTTCTTATGAGACTTGTAATAATGTTCTAAGTTGGATTTTCCTTCTCCCCAACCGAGAGTGTAAGAGCACAGCACTACAGCAGGAGCATGGGGTTTCACCCATACAAGCAGAACCGACGCAGCCAGACAGGAGGAAAAGCAACTTTCTCGATCAACCAACCACAAGCCGACACGAACGCATTAAAGATCTCAACTGCATCGAAAACCACGCTCCCGCACAGAGAGTGTATCCGAGCCAAAAGTGACGTCAACGGGCCGTACGTCATGTACGGAAGCTCAGTCGTTACTTGGAAACCCGAGCCTCTTTTTTCAGCTTTAGTTGCCTAACTTGTTCAGTGTGCAGTTCACGCACTGTTAAAGCGCGTGGTTCTCCAGACTTAATTCAGTTGGAACTACCCCACAGATTTGGTTGTGTAATAAGACGCGGTTAGTCGGATAAAATCAACGGATCACCTCCCTTGCCGTGAAATGTACGGCTGAGATCTTCCGGGACGTCAGCGCCCAGTGTTTGAACTAGAAAGACATGCGTACATGCGTAGTTGGTGAGAAGTCCATAAATGCAAATTATTCAGCACAAGCAGGTGAGACGTGTGACCGGGTGCACCCGGTTGGGCAAGGATGGACTGGGAGGAGGAGGAACCGGAAGGGGCGGTGACCAGGTGGGAAAGTGGGTTTGTTTGACTTGGGCGAGATTTGGCCACAAGTGGCACTTTTTAAGATTTGGTGGCAGTGGCTCTGATTTGAACTGTAGCAATCGTTTGTCATCAAATGTCGGCGAGCTGTGTGTGTCTCTGTGATTTTTTCTTTTTTTTTTTGTTCTTTCTAAATTTAATTATTATTTTTAATTTAATTTTGTAATTTTATTGGTTGGTCCAAAGGATTTGGTTTTGTTGTGAATTTGTGTGGTGGGCTTCTAGTGATCCATGAGTGTTGTGTTGTGTTGCATGTGAGAATATTGGGCTGTCAACAAATATCTAGCTTTCCTTTCCACTAGTGGGTTTCATTTTCTTACCAAAAATGGTAAAAAAAGGTGTTCGTCTCCCACAAGTTACAACTAGTTGGTTTTGCTTTATATTTAAAACCCATGTTTTCCCTTTTTCTTTTGAAAATTTTTATTTTACTTGTATTTATATATGAGAGAGGATCCTTGACGGATCCGGATTCTCTTTGTGAGGATTATAGGGATTCTCCAATCATATCCGTTCATCGTACATTATGTGATCAGTTTTCGTCATGTATTGTTTATATTCAATTTTAAATAAAAAAAATTTACAATGATTTCTGACTGCACAATGTACGATGAACGAATGTGATTTGAGGATCCCCACTCATTTATATTCACTAAAGTATTTTTAATCTATTTAGGTTTTGGGTAAATTCCATTCTATAACTTTTAGGTTTGGGGTGATTTTTAAAATGAGTTACAAAGTTTTAATTTTCTTCAACAAAAAAAAAAAAAAAAGTTTTATTTTCTTATATTGCACCACAAGGTATTTTAGTTGTAGTTGTATTAGGGTTTGTACCGATTTGGGCCTTCTTATGTTCATTTTAGTGGGCTTGGTTCTGTTTTTTTTTTTTAAGAGACCCTGGTGGCCATTCAAGCTCTTCTGGGTATTCTTGTCATGCCTAAGAATCGGCAGGTCAGGTGTGTGATATTGTTGAAAGTTCAAGAGCAAAAGCCCCCGCAAAATGGTTGATGCAGCTATGCAGGTGGGCATCTAGTGCTCCTTGATTCTTTGTCCTGCTGCCCTCGATGAGTTATTGTTATTAAACCAGAAGTATGATTGCAGTGAGTAAATGTCCATTGGAAATCTCATCCTTGAGGAAGGAAGACGACCTTGAGAGGATGGAGGAGGTTATAGATTTTGGTTTTTCTCACCCGAAATGCAGACATGTACAGCACGGCAGTTTCCACCGGCTGACGTCGCCCAAGTATTAGACGAAGCCGTGACTAGATTGCAGCCATTCTGTCTGCAGAACCTTTCGGTTGACGGAGAAATACACAAGTGCATGGGCATTGTTAGGAATCAGACACTGGCGTTGGTGCCTACATGGTTCCACTTGACACCCTAAATGTGCTGTGCATATTTTGTGCATCCTTTTTGCCCTCTTTATATCTATCCATCAACCATCACCAAAATCAAATGCCCGTAGAGTTGTATCTTGAAGCATTTTTGTATGTATATATAATAGTATAATTGTTCAATAAAATTCTCTCCGTTTCAAACACTCCCCTCCCTCCAGTGTAAATTATATTTGTAATATCATTTGTATTTCAAAAAAATAATCCCAAACAAATGATAGGTGTAAATCCTTTCATATTATACGAGAAATGTCATTGACACTTCAGGAAGATCATTATGCACTCTTACAAAATCTCTCGTATTTGTTCGTAATGAACTGCAAAATGAATTTTTTAGAATGTCAATAAAAGCTGCTTATTATAGTTAAACTGTTAATCTAATTGGTTAATTGGACAGATATTATGGTTATATCTCCATTTTTGTGTTCTTAACTTAAGATCTAATGGTTGAAAATTTTGGAATATCCGATACTCAAAAGCATCATAGAAAATCTCCCTACGATTACTGTAGCAAGTACTTAGAGCTCAATGGATTTCACAATTAAAAGACGTATCAAAACAAATATCAGAACACTTGTGATGTAAGAAGAGAGAAGAAAATCAGTGTAGAATTCAAAGAATGATGCCCCTTACATTTGGTACAAAAGTGAACAATTCACAGCTTCCACCCAGCTTTTGCTTCTGAAGCCTCTACTTGCAGGCACAAAAGTTGAACCCTAATTTCACCCCCTATCACAACTTTACTTTCTTCTTTTTAGGCCTTTTTACCACACCGCACCCCGAGTCTTCCATAACCTGCAGCGCATCACAAGTTACAAGTTAGTATCGAAAGAAACGAGGCTACATTAAACATATAAGAAATGATTTCAGCATAAGATCATCTGCCTTTGGTTTATTCAATCCAAAGTCCAAAGATAAACATCGGTAGGTAGTGTGAGTAAGGGGTGTGCGGAAATTCACTTCCCTAAACACGTAAAGAAAACAAATGAAAAACGAGAGACAAAACCCCGTCAATGAGACAATTGCCAGTGATAAGTTAACAACCTTTTGTTGTCTCTTTTTCTTCTCACTTTTCATCTTCTTCTTCTTATTATTATTCTTTTTCTTCACCTTCTTGGGCTCTGAATTCTCCACATTTTCTTCCTGTCGAGGGTCCTGCATTTTTCACCCAAATTTCATAAAAACACTCAAGGAAGTAATCTCATTTTCTTTCCATACAACCGATATCGAGGGCGAGGAAATCAAACGGAGTACCACGGGTGCAACGGTAACTACTAACTACGCTTAATCACTTGAGCTACAAGCACCATGGTAATCGAAGACTAAATGGAACCAAAACTTGAAAGTAAAACACATAATTACCTCAGTCTCAGAGTCATCAAAGGAGTCAACATGCCGTATTCGGATTCCAGAATTCGATGCGCCACCTGATTAACCCAAAAAAATCCCAATTTTAACTTAATCACATTTGATTGGAGTAAAATGCCTGTGATTAACAAGATGCTCGATCGAACAGAGTGTAATTACTTGCAAAAACGGTGCGTTTAGCGTTCTGAACAGCGCGTTCGAGAAGATGCGGATTGATGGAGTCCAATCCATCGGGATTCTGTAGCTTTCTCTCGAGAAATTTCGCCAACGCCGCCGCTTTGTTCGTTGTCAACGGACCTCCAGGATGAGACAACCTATAGATACACATACATATATCCATACATATAGTTGTATGTAATCACTCACCGGAACAAAGAAAACCCTAAATTAAGAAATGAGGGAGAAGAAGGATGGAAAAGAAACCTGGGTTGGCAACGAGGAGGGGGCAAGGATGGGAGAGGCGCGAATTTGCTGCCTCTTAAGGCCTTCTTTTCGTCCTCGGTCAACTCTTCTCCTCTTTGTTTCACCATTTTCTCCTCCGCCGGCGGTGGTTGATGCGACTGATATCACAGCTACGATTCAGATCGGGAAGAGGACGGTACGACTCCGACTAATTTTGTATCCGAAAAAACTTTAAAATATATTTTCCTGTGCCTTTTGTTTGGGTCGCTCCTCAAAAACCATCAAAATTAGAGGGATTTTTTATTTTTTTTTTCTGGGTAAATTATATTTTATCCCCTCAGGTTTAGAATAAATTTCTATTCCTTACAATATCTTTAAAACATTTCAATTTCATACATTTACTTATCATTTTATTTCAATTTCATACATCCGTTAGAAAATCTGTTAAGTAAATCGTTAAGTGATGACGTGGAAAATATGAGATCCACATTTATGCTGTCGTGGCTGCCACATTTGTGCCACGTAGCAAAAAATAATAATTTTTATGCATTTAAAATATAATATTATTACCCTATTTTATTATTATTATTATTATTTTTTAAAAAACAACCCTAGAACCCTCGCGACCCATTTCTCCATCTCCTCCCTCTTCACCTCCCATCCTTTCTCTCTCCCTAGACACACTCATCCCTCTTCACCCCCCGACCCACCTTCAGCTTCGAGGCCCCAACCGAGACTTTCCATAAGACAACGGTGTTGGAGATTGCTGAGATCGGGCGAATTGCCAAATAGGTGCTTGGTCAATCGATGCTCCGGATGCTGGTGAAAGGTCTAGTTGATCGGATTTTGGTGCCGATGCGGCGAGCTCTTCTGCTTCGAGCACCAGTACTCCGACCGCCATGTGTGCAGCTATGAGTATTTGGGGTTTTGGGTGGGGTGGTGGGATTGCAAAGGAGGTGGGGGTGGGGTTGGGGTTGGGGTTGGGGCGGCGGCGGGGGGCGGGGGGGGGGGGGGGTGGGTGGTTTTGAAGAGGAATGAGTGGGTTTGGGGAGAGAGAAGGGATGAGAGGTGAAGAGGGAGGAGATGGAGAAGTGGGTCGTGGTGGGGGGCTTCTAGGTTTGTTTTGTTTGGTTGTTTTTTTTTTAATAGGGTAAATAATATTATATTTTAAATGCATAAAAAAAAAAAAAATTCCATGTGGCACAAATGTGGCAGCCATGTCAGCATAAATGTGGATCACATATTTGTCACGTTATCACTTAATGGTTTACTTAACAGATTTTCTAACGGATGTATGAAATTGAAATAAAATGATAAGTAAATGTATGAAATTGAAATGTTTTAAAGATGTTGTAAAGAATTGAAATTGACCCCAAACCTGAGGGGGTAAAATGTCATTTACCCTTCTTCTTTTTTTTCAATAAGAAGAACATTTAAATTTCAAAATTGTATTAAGACTTAAGAGATTTAAAATTGTATTAATTTACAACTGTTGTAGGCCTATTTGACTGAACTATTCTAAGTGAATAGAGAGGGGGAGGTAGGCGGCAATAAGAGTGAGAAGAGAGAGATTTAATTTTGAGGTGTGTGTTGTATTACCCATTGTGCCATAGTAGTAGGATATGTTAAATCCTTACTCTTTTAGGATTACAACTCTAATAAGATATTAACTACTAATAGGGAATATTCAAATATATCCATAGATACACTAGGATTTACACAATCACATTTCTATTCTAAATATGACCGCAACAATAACTTTTTTTTTTTTTTAACAAACGATATTATTTACACTAAGAGAAAATGAGTGGATTTAGCTTACAATGCGTCAGCAATAATGTGGTTATACCTTTTATCTTGAGCGCATCTGATTCTATGTTAAATTGATGAGTTCTTTGAAAAATAGCTCACATGTCATCAATTTAATGAATGATCAATCAATTTGATCAAAATGTGTATGTTAAAACTAGACCCAATGGTGCAAATTGAAAAATTAAAAATTTATAGACTATTTTGAAATTCACTCCGAACACTTGGAGAAAGTGATATAATTAGTCATTTTAGGTTGGATTCATTTGATACTTAATTATTATGATTTAGTTCATATAATGTATACTTCAACTTTCTTGTGTTAAACTTTTGGCTCATAAACATAAAAGTGCAATACAATTTTTTTTTTAAAAGTTAGATTTATAAATTATTAGACGAATTCTTTATGGAAGAAGAACAGATTCTTTAATATTGTCAAGAGCTTCTTATACTTTGAAGAAGTTTTATAAAGGTCGAATTTGGTATTTGGATATTTTATTGTATAAAGATAAAACTAATATTAAAAACAAAGATTTCCTACAAACCTGACTTTTCCATTTTCATTGTACCCCAAAAGTCAACCTTCCAAAAGATAATTATATTTGGGAATGGGCGCGCTTGACTATTCACTGCTCCCATGGACTCACAATTTTGCCTCAATCATTTATAAAACTCAAATTTCGTCACACTTTTGATCATTTTGTAAAATAAATTTTCGCTCCTTTTTTTATATTCTGCACTCCCTCTCTTATTCATAGCTACAAGACTGAATCAATCAACCGCGAATTAAGGTACAAAAACAAGTAATAGAGTCAATGAGAAGAAGAAAGGAGTGTAAAACTCAGTTTTCTTTTTCGTGAAACCATAACCTTTTATCCCTGTTTTAGTCAAAATAGTCTATAAAATTGTTATAAATCCTCATTTTGGTCCCTAAATTTTAAAATCGATAGAATTAACTCCTGAGTTTGTCCACGATCAATTTCAGTCATTTTGCAAAAAATTCCGTCAAATAAGAATAGAAGGATAAAAACACCTTCAATTTTTGTTAAATCATTTTAGCCCAAATCTCTTAAAATGATTGTATTTTTGTCCCTTTGATCCTTATATGACAACAATTTTCACGAAATGACCAAAGTGATTGACTTTGAACAAACTCATAAACCACTTCTATCGATTTCATATCTCAAAGACCAAAGTAGATAGTTATACCAATCTCAAGGACTAATTTGGCTATAAAATAATAAAAAATAAAAAAAAACAATAATTAAAATCTTACAAGAATGTTGGCATCAAATAATCCAAGTCCCACCCACATTTGGGTGATTTTAGATAATTTATTTTAATTTTCTTTTTACAAATGATAAACTTTGTAACCAATACACAGCATAACATGGTTCTGTTTATTGAGTTCTCCATTTGCCTGCTACTTACAATACGTTTGAGGATCAAACCAATAGACGAAAAATACGAAACGAAATCGGAAAAAGCCAATTACATGTTAACAACTACAAGTAAGCATATAGCAGTAGGCACCCAATGGCTTCAATTGTTCAGCATTCCTCCACCCCCCATCATTTTGTTCCATCATTTCCCCCCTAATTTTTCAACAGAAAAGTAATACAGGAGCCCCGCTGTATTCGGCTACATCACATCTACATCGGCAGCACAATGTAAATAACAAGGGAGGGAGAAGCCCAACAAATTTCTGAGGAAATGAATTCCTCTCAATTTACAGGCCTCTTTCTTCAAAATCCTAAAAAAACCAGGCGAAGCCAAGAAGCCAATCCAATTGTATATTTGAATGAAATGAGAACAAGTCACCGTGCAAGGTACTGGATTCTCTAATCAACGGTTGGGGTAGGAGGAGATGGCGCCCATCTACACATGCGTGAAGTCGAGAACCACTGATCGAACTCCTAGCTTTTTCAACCATTGTTTTTAGGAGCTAACCAAGCAAGAACTTGAAAACGTCACTTAGTGAAACAATGCCTTCAACCCGTTTACTGCCAGCTTCTACAATAACCAGTCGTCTGACACCTGAAATCCAAGATTTGAGGGAAATTAAGTGGGAAGATTGGCTGGACATATCGTTCCCTACATGATCACAACTCTGCACCTTACGTAACAGCATCGAAACATTAAGTCTTTAACATTTCTAAATACAAAAGTGAATAGAGAAATACCTGGATTGGCCAATCGCTCCATCACTTTATGCAGAGAATCACTGCGCAAACACATCTGGCATCTTTGACCTCTTGGTTCAAAGGGAGAAAATGAGTCTTGTCCCAACTGCAATGCCTACAAAAACAAAGATAAGAACTAAGACTACATCCCTGGAAGCTTAGCACCCCGGACGGTCTCTTCCACCAGAATGTATGAATATGTAGTGAAAATGTCAAAGAAAATATTCCTTCAAACTGAAAGAGGAGCCACCTAACTAAACCACAACTTTAAATTCAAAAAACCATTAGGCCCCTAAATCTCCCGACCTCCAAAATAAATAAATGATTGGAAATCTGTCTCTAATGCATCTGAAGAATTCTCATTCCATATGACATTTAAGATGCACAAAAGAGTGAAGAAAATTCGTATGGAAACCGGAAAACAACTATGTTCAGGAATTACACCAGTTACCTGTTGAATAGTCATTTCATTGAGATTAATATGTGCGTATGCTCTATCTTTAGCCAAAGCCGTTATGTCACTGTCAAGAAAATGTAAATGGAAAAATATCAGTAATTGTTTGTTAAAATAAAAAAAAACAGCTGATTATTTATTTCAATCAATCAAGACAACAACTAGTAATTATACCCAAATAGAATTACAACTAACCTTCGACAATATATATCCAGTAAAGAGTTATTATCATCAACTATAGGTATTGAACTTACTTGAGCTGCAAAGCAAAAACAAAAATGCATTTGAGTTAGCATGATGGGATGCATATCTAAAATACTCGCTCACCCTAAAACTTTGGTGCTACAATACAAGGTCATCCATGCATAACCTAAAAATTAATCGTAACAAATCCTTAAACACAATTTAAATTCAGATAATTTGATCCACTTCCTACAGTAGCAGGCTAGCAGATGCCAGCACAATGCATGGATATGTGTACATCTATTGGAGAAGACATCCCACTTCATGACAATTGCTGCACACTCAAAAATTCTACAGCTCAACCACAAGGCTTACCTTGAACTAGCAAGTTTAGAGCTGCACTAAGCGAAGCACTTGGTCTCAACATTGCTAATGGCCGACGATTCGTCTCTCCAATTTCTGGAACCCAAGTACCCACATTAAGTGCACATATTGGTGCTTGAAGTATGGGTAATGAGCTAGATGAATGCCTAAAGTACCTGCAAACACCTGCAAATTGACATTTATCAGTACCAATTACGAACTGAATCTACGGTATTATTTAGTAAGTTTCCAAAGAGCTTACATTTTAAAATACCAGACAGTGAAGCAAGATGTAATAGCTGCGGAAATAAGCCATTTTCTGAAGATGAATGGATAATTGGAACCGTAGCAACCCCATTTTGCAAAATTTTCAACACAACATCTTTCATATTATCATATGGTCCAGCCTGAAATATCAATAATGAACCAGTCAAAGCAAAATTATTAAACCTAGCATGCTACAAAAACTACCATATGGTCACCCAGACAGTATACCATGTAAACATTCACATTTATGCTAACGAGGACTAAGATTACATGAGCATCAGTTTGACAGTGGTTGCATACGACGGCCCATTTGTGGGTCTGTCATACTACCACAGAATTCAAGTTTTAACTTTGACATTTGTTTTACTTGTCTGGAGACAAACTATTACTGATTTAAGTTGTGACAATGTTTTGAACGCTTCCAAATGATCATTAATGAGTTTGCATCGTACGCAACAGAAGAGTCATTGAAACAGCTTCACAAGGAGGGCTGCTTCTGTACTCAAGAAGCGATTCTTAAAGGCATCAAATTATAAGTTTCTTGTGTCTTTTAAATAAGATCTCAAAATAATTCCAAACCACGCAGACACATAAAGACCTTATTATTGCATGAATCCCTAGGATATAAAATTATGTATATTATATGCAAGATGTATATATTTGTGTATAGCAGGTGATGTTCTTTGCCAGATACCTGCCGTGTTATGTTGTCAAATTATGAATCTAGCACCACAGATTAAAATAAAAACCCACCTGATCAACGGTAAATACTGCATTTACAAGACAGAAATACAAAGAGTCACATAAAACACTCACATGGACTAACTGTCTCGGCACTCCTCTCCCATGTTCATCAATCTGTCCATTTAGATATGCTTTTCCCTCTTTCCATGCTGCTATAGTATGTGTTTCAAGCTCTTCCTCTGTCAAATTAGATCCATGGTTCCCAAGCTAAAAGACAAAAATAAAGTTAGCTATTTTAAGAAATTATCATACATCACTCAAATGTGGGTGCGAGCATTGCACAAAACTAATAGCAAAATCCTACTTAAAAAGTATTTGGTCAATAAAGTAAGCTGATAAAATTTTACCAAAGTCTGATTCACAATTCCCTAAGAATGTATACATTAGTGAAGAACGACAGAAATAACAAACAGGAGATGGAAGTCTCAAACTAAAATATTTGAACTTTTGTCATCAAATTACTATCCAAGAATTCAAAATAACAATGATATAACTGCATCTTGAAGAACTCACCAAAGGAAAAAAAATCATTTCAGATTCAAACATACCTCTCTCAATATTAAAATAAAATCCAATGCACTGAGAACTCCAACAAAATGTCCATTGCTGAAGTCCCAAAGAGGCGCCAAAGGGATTCCCTGGAAAAAAATTGGCTCAGAAAGATGCATATGCTGGCTCATTATCAGCATCAAGCAAGCACGCCAACAAAAAATGAAGAACCAAGGTACCGTGCAAATTTCGACAACTAGAAAAGCTTAGATAAATTCCTTAGTTGAATTGGGTTTATAAAAATGATGTGAAAAGATCAAATTGAAACAATTATAAGGGACTCATAAAGATATATGGGGGTGATCCTCCAGTTATGACATAGAACTTAATATGAGTTTAGAACTACCACAATGTCCACTAAAACTGATACTAATAGAGATCAAGCTAGAATGTATTCATTTCGTCTTCCACAAATCAAATACGCAGAGCATGATTCAACCAACAATGAGAAATGTATTTTTCTTTGTACATACCTGCTCATGCAATATATGAAATGCTTGCTTTACAGGTAAATCAACATCCAATGCAACAACCTGTAAACTTGATGTGATTAAAAAAAGAAAAAAAAAGAGACTACTGCATAATGAATCAAATTCATATACACCAACCAAATGTAGAATGCATAAAGGAGGGCAATGACAAATCATCCAAACCTTGCCTGACTCCGGGAGTAGTTCATATGTGGTGTGTGCGGACAGGAAGACAGAAATACAATCACGAGAGCTTTGCAAATCAGCCTCTGATATCCTCAGCACTACATCAGTTAAAGTACCATCTGTAATCCGGACCTGTGTTGTAAGAAAGATCACAATCCACTCTTACCAATAACTCATTGGAGAAAAATAACAGAAAGTAAATACAGCTTACAGGAGCATAAAATGAGTGTTAAAGTGCAAGGAAGATTTTTTTTTTATTTGGGAAAAAAGGTTACTCAGACCATGAATTCCATAAGCAACCTAGTAACTCAAATCACAAACACATCACATGGATGGGATAATGTTGAAGCACCCTGAATTCAGTAAAATCTTATAGGAAAGGTTAATAGAAAGAGAATTACATTTCGAGGTAACAATGATATGATCTTAAATGCTGCCCCAGGTAAAAAACATACATAATCTTAAATGATAAGGAATGAATGACTCTTACCAAACGCTTAAAGGCCTCAGTATCCTCTTCCATATAATTAGGTCCAGAAGTCATCTCTGAAGTTACATTCGGATGAAAGAGATTAGGATCTGTGGCCAAGAGAATGTTCACTAACCCATATTCACCACTCACGTAAGGTTGGTGCTCATCATGTCGCCATTCGCCATCAACAAAAAATTTGTACTGTAGTATGAGAAACACATGCAAAGTAAGACTTTGATGATGTGTTTAAAGTCCTATCAATGTAAACACAGAACACCCCAGTACTAGCATTCTAACATCAAACTGCATGCAGGCTTGATAAAAATTCACATATTCAATCACTTCAACCAAAAAAGTACGAAACTGGTGATCCACTTGAGATGAACATGTGATTTTCAAATTTCAAAAGAATAAAAAAGCCCGATAGTAATTATATGATATCCATAGATTATTCATAATATATTCCTCTATACATCTGTAAGCCAAGCCAATTATCCAGAATTCATACCAACTACTACATCACCTCCTAGACTAAAATTTCTCAGCACTGACTCTATTACTTGATATATTACTACTAATTCAGCTTAATGAAGCACCCAATAGGGATTTCCACACTACAATCACATAGTATCACCATATGGAAGATTAAAATGAGCAATATTCATAAACAGGAATCCCATGAGGAACACGGCAAGAAAGATACAAAAGTTGACAATGCTAACTTCACTGCCTCAAACAACTCACAGCTTTTTTAAATGCAGATTCGAACCATGGGTGTCTACCCTCACGTCTCACCCTACCCATCCAATGCCACTTGAGCCAAGGCTCATTAACAACAATTTTGTCTTCCATAAGCTCATATTGTGATACAGGTCTCCAAACTCTTAGTTCTTATATACCATATACTTAGTTCATCATCCTATGCCTATGATCACTGAGTGCTTCAAAATTCAACTATGGTGGGCAACAAAAATATTCCAATTCCAAAAGGACATTCAAACCAAAGTAAACTTCTTTAACCATTTCAGTACTACATTAATATAGTATAATTCAAACGAAACTTCTTAATGGTAATACCTGATATTAACCCTTCATATTTCTTCTCATCAATATCAAGTTTGAGTGTATGAAGACTATGACTTGATTCTACTAACTAAATTCACCTACATTTCAATCGATTATTAACAAAACTCAACTACATTACACCCTTTTCCATGGCCTGCAATCAACTTTCTCAACTTTGCTCCTATAAAATGTAAAGATTGATATGATTCATTACAAGCTTTATCAATGAATCCATCATCTATGATCACTGAATCAATCATGGTTGACTGCTACTACTCATATTCCCCTCAAAAGTGAAAGCTCGTGAATTTACACAACAACAACAATTCAAATACTTCAATTCCGAAACGAAAAAACTTACCTGGTGGTATCCAGGCGTTACACTGTAAACAGCTTGAAACACAGTGGGGCAACCCTCAACCGGTGTCATAGGAATGAGTTCAGACCACCTGCTGCACAAAGAACATACCATTTGAAACACACACAAATATAACAGCAGCCCAACAAATCAGATATAATTAAATTGCATTTATATATAAACAAAATTCGAGACCGAAAACTCAGAGTCTCACCGGACAAATGAACCACTGAAAAACACACTTCTGCCCCCATAAGGCCACACAAAGCGCATTGGGATCAACACCGTGCTCGGAACTCCAACAACATCCCGCGCTGAATCCATGTTGGTAGCAAACATTTGTCCCCAAATTCATACAAATATTCTCAGAAAAAATTCAACCCTCCAAGCTATAAACTCCCAATGACATGCCCGCTCAATCTATTTACTGCAAAAACAAAAATTCAACCAACTTACGATAAAAATCCCAAAATCAGAGCAAAAGAAACAAAAAATTGAGCTGATTCAACACACTCCCAGAAGAAAACCAACCAAAAAAATCATTTTACTTCTGGAAGCTAAAATTGAACAGGAAAAACCCTGAAGCACGTGGAAATTGGGGGCAGAAAACCTACCAATTACAGCAGCGAAATGCCCTCCATTTCGAGAAATCGATGAAAAAGGCAAATGAAATTAAATTGGGGGAATGGAAACCCTAGCGGAAATAATTACGACGGAAATTTTAAAAAATTGGGTGAGAAAATCGAGAAAGGGGTTACGACACGATCGAATCTAATTTACGAACCCTAAAAGACAGAAAACTCTGATAGTGATGTTAAAAAATCATAAAACGATATGTTTTTCCATTTTTCTTTTTGTTTTTTGTTTTCCTTAAAAAATTGCTACTGTGCCCACGTTATGGTCTTATTTCTTTTAACTACATTAAGATATTTTCTTTCACTTAGAAAATTTAAAATACCAAATACTCTCTTTTCATCGGTTTATATTTCTAAAATATTCGTAACAGTTTAAGTTATAAATAAAATAAATATAAAGAATGATTGAATTTAGGAGATTTTAGGAAAATAAAGCAGTCATGAAAATCCTCCCAATCCAGCCCAAAGCAACTACAACCAAGCACCACATATGACCGCGACAACCCCTTTTCTCTTTGCCGCTAGGAAAGTTACATTCCTTTCTTTTTATTCTCCTTTCTCTATTCCTTTCTATCTTTTTCTTTTTTCTCCTATCATATCTGAATTTAAGATTCATCTCTATATTTATTCCTAAATTCCAGTTCAGAATTAAAGGTTGAAATGTAGGAAGAAAAGAAGAGATAGAATTTGGGGGGGGGGGGCGAAAGAGTTAAAAAGAGTGAGGAATGAGAAAAGAAAATGGAGAGGTTTAATTCGTTTCTCATTTTCATTTTTTTTTCTACTGTTTTTTTTTTTTTTTTTTTTAACTACAGAGAATATATAAAATGAGTAATTTTTAACTTAATTTTGGAAGTCTTTTAACATGGAGTTAATTTGGGTGGGGGAAATAAAACTATGAATGGGCACATTAGCACTAAAAAAAATTGTACAGAAGCAAAGCAACTACTACCAAAGGAGCTTCGAAAATTTTCCAAAACTCTGGATAATGAACAGTGGTGTGCAAACCATTACTGTGATGTAATCATGAAAATATAAATGGTAAAAGTTAAACTGCATAAAAGTTTTGGACGGTGTGAGATGTCATTGAAGTTTCCTTTTTCATGTCGTTATGAGCGAGGATTTGGTTCATCTTACATGTACACGTAAGATAGACCTATATGTAACAATTTAGAGTGAAAATATTAAACATAACGTGATTATTCCGTCCAAAAGTTTAAAGTTTATTTATGCTGCTAAACTACAACCACATGGCAGGTAAAAAAATTAGAAAAATAAATCAATTTCCTTACGTTTGTTAATCTATCTCTATATATAAAAGAAGAAGGTAAATTTGATGAAATATTCATAGTACTAAAAATGCCCCTTCTTCTTACTACTTTTAAAGAGACAATTTAATTAAATAAGGACAATTAGTAAAAAAAAAAAAAAAAAAAACCCACATACATGGAGTTACTAACCATTTTTAAAAATTATACACTGTAAATTAACTTTCAAATAAATTAATATTCAAAATAATATAAAGTTTAAACTAAAAAAAAATTACCACACGCATTAATGTTTGGTAAGAAGCTAGTATATATAAAAAGAAGTTAAAAAATGTGAAACTTCCCTCATATGCAAATTGCCTTCTCCCATTAGAATTTTACAAAAAACAAACCACGTTGGGTAGTTAGTAAGTTCATGTTTTTTTCAAAAATAATAATAATAATAATAATAAAAAACAACAATAACTTAAGTGAAAAAAAAAAAAAAAAAAAAAAAAAAGCGCACGCACGCCTGTGGTAGGAGGCTTGTAAAATGATAAGACGCACAATCTTTTTCTTTGCATGTGCTCTAATTTAATTATGGTTGTTGTTGTTTTTATTTATTTATTTATTTAATTCGATAGCAGCACAAATAAAGAATATGATGTGAGAAGATAAAAATTGACACATCCCAACTCGAATATCCATATGAATACTAAATCGAAGCATGTTGACCGACATCCGAAGGATACCGAAACCATAATGTGAAAGTAGTGCGTAAAAGTACGAATAAATTAAAACCAAATTCTAAATTTAAAATAAATAAGAGTGCACAGAGTGGATGAATCTTATTACAATGCATACAGTATCGGAGCATAGATAGAAGTGTAGCAAAAAAATTTCTCATAGAATGGATATTTATACAATGACCCGAAGACCAAGTGTGGCAGCATGGGTTATGGGAGACTCGCTGGCTTACAGAGGCTACTGTGTTTTCATACAAGGGGCCAACGTTGTTCGTGATAGCAGCCACCAAAGAGTTAATCCGATCCAGAATGTCAGTGACAAAAAGATCACCGATCAAAAGTTCATGAACTCACCTCGAAGCTTAACAACACGATTATGCCAAGAGGAGGCATAACGTTACTGAAGGGTTTTCCAGGCATCAGGAGCAAATATCTTGTTCACAGTCACAAATTGGTTCAGTTGAATCCATGCTTCATAGACAGGATTGATTTCGTCAGTCAATCGTCCTTCAGCATCAGTGATGAACGCCGGAGGACGTCGAGAAATGCCGTCCACAAGCGAAAGAAGTCCCTACTATGAAGAAGGGGGATAAACTGAGCCGTCCACAAGCCGCAAGACTTCTTGCTATGAACGCTGATGAAGAAAACGTTGATCTGCAACGATCTCTCTTACGCTGTAAGTAAGGCCATCTTTGTCTCATTGATTTGTGTTTGAATTTCTACTTGGAACTTGGGTTAAAAAGTCCTGAACTTTCTGCTCGGTTGTTTGGCTGTAAGCTTCCTGCGCGGTTGTTTGGTTTCACGTTATAAAATTTGCATGAAGCGTATGTGTGCGTGTTTTGTTGCCTTTTCACCGTGGTATTGAAATTGGTTTGTAGGCCTGGGATGAATCGATGCGACATCAGTGAAGAGGAAACAACTAAAGCACTCCATGGATTATACCAGATGCGGTATTCAGAAGGTATAAATAAGTTGCAGAATCATGCTAATGGAACAACATCTGCAGTACTTGCAGTTGATGTCTTACATCTTGATCAGAATCCCAAGGGAAGAAGAAACATGGTTCAAAGGAAATAATGTCTTTCTGACCTCTAGGCTCAAGTAACAAGAAAATTTCAAGCAGTGAAGGGTTTCTGGAGGTAGTCAAAGCAGCAGAAGTTATGAATCTACAATTATGTGAAGTTGTGCTCCTTTTTATCTACTAGGCGTATCTTTGGTCTTTGTAATTGATCGTTTTCTCTTTATAGTATGGGCGTCGATGTTTGCACTCAGCAATAGTAGACATTGTTTCAACTATGTTGCAACCGCGACATGGGTGATTTACTGATGGATTGAAGGGATCGTGAACTTACGTTGTTTTAATCATGCTGCAACCACGACATGGATGAATTACTAGTGACAGTATTAGTTACTATTGTTTATTAAGTTTACTAACTTATACTTTTAACTCGTTCATATGTTTAGGATAATAAGTACTATAAAAAACATAAAAGTTGAGAAATGCATTCAGCATTTCTACATTTAAAAATCTCGGAGTATAGGATGGTGAACGATGTTTTAACTTGGTTGCAGCTTTGTAGAATGATCAAAGTGAGGATGTACAAAATCTAAGTGGGCAATCTCAAAGATGAACAAGATAACGATTAACTAAGAAATGAGTAAGCTAGTGAGACCAAATTTTATAAACTAAATGAAGTGAATATCAATGATTAGATTTTTACTTAAATGTTGATTAACGTACTTATTTATTAAAAGAGAGTTTATTTCAACTATGTTATTGTTGCACCACGTTGCTTACGTAGTCATGTCCCAATCCAACGTTTCGATATCATAACAAAACCAAGGTCCGCATTCCGCGCGACAAATACGCGGCAGCATATCTCGCCCAACCGACAACACGTGGCAAACGGCGCCGTTTCATCAGAAACCGGTGCCTCCGACTTCCCAAAATTTGAAGCTATCGTAATAAATGCACCCCTTCTTTCATGCGCCAAAATTATACGTGAAAAAATAAATTAAATAAAAAATCGCAAACCAAAAGGAGAAACAAATCAGAAATAAAAATAAATAGAAAAATAGAAAAAGGGGCAAAAATAAGGAAAGCAAGGCAGAAATAAAATAAATTAATAAATTAATAAAATTGTACACCAACAAAGAGAAGAAGAAGAGAGAGTGTGCGTAAAATTGAATCAATCCGTCGAAACCCGTTGCAGCCAATCAATAATCAGCACTGATCGGCCCCGACCAATCTCCGCCGTCGATCCCGGAACCGGTGATCGGAGACTTCCACCGGAAGAGCTTTGACATAATATGAATTCAGTGAATTTTTATTTAATATTTTTGGGGATTGTTTTTCATAGGGGGGTTTTGAAATTCCTACTGTGAAAGTTCGGTTATCGGAGAATCTGGTTCTGGGTTTTGTTGGGTTTTCCGAGAGCATTGGTGGGTCGGAGAGGGTATTTTGGGGATTGGACTGATGCTGGACTTTAGGGAAGGTCGGTGCGTGAAGGGGTGAAAAGGTTGGGGTTTTGGGGTTAGAGGTAGGTTAGGGTTAGGGTTTGGTAAGGTTGGTTGTGATGGAGGGGAATAATACTGAGCTTGAAGAAGGTGAGGCTCCTCGCAATTACAAGGATGATGACGAGGGAAACCTTGACCCGGACAACGATCTCTCTTACATTGTAAGGGCATCTTTGTCTCATTGATTCATTCGTGTTCGAATTTCTCCATAGAATCTTTACTGAAAGCTTTGGAGTTGATTAACAATATATGAACATCTTAAGAAGATAATAGGGTGTTGAATTTGTTCTTAAGACAGAGTTTCTATGCTGTCTTTGATGTATGTCTATGTTGTATTACAATGGTGGATTGTAATTTGTAACTGCTTGTTTGGTTTCCGAGAAAATGTAAGAACGTAAGGAAAATAGGAAATTGAGTTTAAACTGGAATTTTAGACTTGCAGGCAACTGTTTGCAGGGTGAAGTAGAATTTTTTATCCCTTGGATAGTAAAACGTAATGCAATAATTAGTTGTCTTTAAGTTGCGCTGTATTCCAACACATCGTGATAAACAAATGCTTCGGACACTGCCAGTGAAGTTTCTGGGTGTTTTCGGCTGGCTTTAGATACAATGTAGATTATTTTCTGGTTCAAGTATAGAAAAAGTACATTCATGGCTGATTGCTGAATATTTGATTGTGCAACAGCATTACTATAGTGAACTCTTGGAGTTATTCGTACGTGCCATTTATTGACTATGAGTTGTGGTATATAGAGTTTTTAAATGAGCCGAAGTTTTCTTTTTTCATTTTGATGCTTCTTAGATTACTTATATGGTTATTGATCCAAGGAAAGCATTAGTGAATTTGAACTCAATAGTTGTTTGTTCAGTGTCCAAGAGAACAAAATATTTAAACCCCCTATAAATTTCCAAATGCTGAGTAGCTGAGTTGAGATTAGTAGGCCAAATTTTGTCTCTGAAACTAACATTTAGTTTTCACTTCCTCGATTCTGTCGTCTTGGCTATCAAAATACCTTTGAAAAGCGTTATTGATTGCCAGATACGTGAACAAATCCCATGATGGGCTAAGCTGGTTTTAGGTAACAGTAAGACAAGTTTAGACAATCGGCGTCTTTAGAAAATAAAGAAAGAAAGTAAAGTAGGATTTTCTTCTGCAACGTTCTGTAATTACCCTTTGTGTTTCTGTGCAGACAATGTGGTTATAGTCTTTCTTTTTTTTATGATCTTATCTATGTAATGACAGTTAAATAAAAAAAAAAAAAAATGTATGTAACGGCACTATCTTTTGAATTTTTCAAGGATGAGAGAATTCAGAATGCTCTGGGCCATTTCCTGAAGGATTTTGAAGGCGGGAATTCTGTTGAGACTTTGGGTAAGTGACAAACATGAAAGTAGTAGACAGTGCTTCATATTTGTACTTGTAAATTTAGTGGCTCATCAGGTGGATGGACTTTATTGTTCTGTCAGGGGCAAAGTACGGTGGGTATGGCTCTTTTTTACCATCCCATGAAAGGTCTTCGTCCATTTTGTCTCATCCAAAGACCCCGCAGATAAACTACAGCACATCAAGATCTCCTAAAAGTTTAACAGAGGTATGTGATAAAATTCTTCTTATTTGTTATTTGGTAGGAAGGATTTATATATGGCTGAGATCTTGTCAGATTGGAAAGTTCTATTTTAGTGGACATTCGTGGGTTATGTTAACATACAGGGTGCTCCTCAGAATCTGAAAGCTTATTCAAAAGCAGCCCCAGATGTGAGGCTTGGAACTGCTAACAATGCTAATTTGTCACATAATTCAAGGGTCCTCCTTGGAGATATTTCAGTTAAGCGGAATTCATGCTTGCCTTCTGCTCAAGTAGCTGAGAGGTGTTCCTTGAAAGATGAAACTTCAAACAGACAGGGCAATCCAACTGATCAAAGGACACTGAAGGTTCGAATCAAAATGAACCCTGATAACACGGCTCGGAAGAATGTAGCAATATATAGTGGTCTTGGACTTAGCTCTCCATCTTCATCTTTGGAGAACAGCCCTGAGGAAAGTAAGGAGATGATACCTCCATCTCAAGTGATTGTGGATGACACTGCTACTAACATTATTCAGGTAAGCTCAGATGTTTTAGTGCAGTTTCTATTGCTGTAGATGGACCTAAAATGATCTGTTGCATTGATGGGCGTTGTTTATGTTTTGTAACAGGTTATGACTTCCTTCCCTGTTCCTGGAGATGCATTGATATCACCACTCCATGACAGTTTGCTTTGCTTAGCAAGAAAGAGAAAGCTTTATCAACAAAAACCAGTGCCTTCATCTAAGGGTCATCAAGAACATTCATCTTTGTTTGTAGATGACACTGTTTTCACACAGGGCAACGCCAAAGTGTCAAAGGAGATAAAAATGAAAGTATCCAGGAAGGGTGAAAGTCCGGTAGCGCTGAAGCTTGAGAATGGTATCAAGAATAACACAAAAATTATCATGAAAAAGAAATCAGAAGCTGTGAGTCAAGAAGACAAGGAGCTTGTGCCCAATGACTTGAAAGCGACACCTTTGCCCAATTCAATATTTGTTGGTAATTGTTTGAAAGTGATTGGTAAGACACCTGAAGCTTCCAGGGAGGCCAATGAGAATGAGGTGAAAGGAAAATTATCTTCCTCTGAATTAGTGAAGGAAGAGTCATTTGAGTTGATATCTAATCAGGATATTCCAGTTGATCTCAGGGATGATGTCAAGTGCAAGGGTTACAAGATTTCAGCCTCAAAAGATGATTCTGATGTATACAAATGCAAGGAAGAGCATGACCTGCTCAAACACAATGCTGGTAAGAAAGGTCCATCACGTGAACAAGCAAAAACTAATGTGCATAGCAAGAGAGCAAAGCTATCTTCTGAGGGCAAGATCAAGTCAAAGGAAAATCAAAGCAATGAAAAGCCACCTAATATTTCAACAAAGGAACGCATGGAGTTTGAAATAGGTGTATTACCAACAGATAAATTGAGTGGAGGTCATGGTGTTCGTCCATCTGATATAAAAATTCAGAAGTCAAAGTCACAGAAGGATAAGGTCAGAGGTAATCAAAGAGTCTCAGTGGGGGCCAAAAGATTGGAACAAAGGGATAAAGTGGATCTAGCAGAAAGACCTGCCGCTGATATTGATATAAAAGGGAGGGCATGTTTGGATAAACCGAAGGAAAAATTGAGTGGCAAAAAGCCCGAGAATAGGTTACTGTCAAAAGATGCTCCCATTCTGTGCCAAGGAACAAAGGAAAATGGACTGGCTTTGGAGCTCGTACCCGTAGCCGCAGCTCCTGTCATTATAGAAGAAGATTGGGTGTGCTGTGATAGTTGTCATAAGTGGCGGCTTCTACCCTACGGTACTAAGCCAGAGCAACTCCCTGAGAAGTGGTTGTGTAGCATGCTTAATTGGCTGTAAGCTTCCTTCTCATTGTTGGGGTTGACAATAACATTTGCACCCCTTTTCTTTTTCACTCTCTCTCTCTCTCTCACACACACACACACACACACTCAGATATTCAAGTAATCACATGAGCGTATGTGTGCCTGTTTTGCTGCCTTTTCACTGTGGTATTGAAATTGTTTTGTAGGCCTGGGATGAATCGATGCGACATAAGTGAAGAGGAAACAACCAAAGCACTCTATGCATTATACCAGATCCCATCTTCAGAAGGTATAAATAAGCTGCAGACTCATGCTAATGGAACAGCATCTGCAGTACTTGCAGTTGATGCCCTACATTATGATCGGAATCTCAGTTCTCATGCCATGTCTAATCAAGGGAAGAAGATACTTGGTTCAAGGGAAATACCAAATGCAGGTAATGGAAGTGGTCTCTTGAACTCTACAAAGAACCACCTGCAAGTAGCTGTAAAAAGTTTAAGCTCAAATGTCATAAACCAGCCTCCTTTAGAATCAAATCTGATAAAGAAATCTAGTTCTCGACATATGAGCAAGCTGCAAAACTTGGGAATCGAAAAAAGCATACCTAAGCAGAAGGAGAAGCAAACAAGTGGAGGTATGCGATTATCTGTAAAGTTTCCCTTTCCTACTGCCATAACACGTTTGTGCAAAAGTAGTAACCAGTGCCTCTATTTATTTAGGTTGTTCAATATCTGCAGGTAATGCCAAGGCAGTAAGATTGAAAAACAAGAAGGAGGATGATCAGCATACATTTGGAACTTCTAAGAAACCGAAGAGAGGAGATATGGGGCATGCTGATGCGAACCCGAATTCTAATGTTGACATTGGAAAGGTTTGTGTCGGTTCAAGTGCTGGTCTGTTATCCCAGGCACATGGTCAGGACGCCAAAAACACTGACCTCTGTCATTCTGAAGACACAAAGGATGTAGCCAAGCCTGCCAAGGACAAATTGCAAGTTTCTGCAAAGAAATTGAAAGACCAAATTCAGGTCTCATTGCATGGTGGGGCTTTGGACGTGAGAACAGGTACTAGAGATAGTTCCATGAAGAAAAGAAAGATGAGAGAGTGGCAGGATTCTCAGAATAATGTGGAGACATTTCAAGATTTTGGGCATGAAGGGAAGGTATATACCAAGGAACAAAGTGGTGAAAGCGGATCTCGGAAGGAGAAGAAGTCCAGGATTTTGAAGTCTGATCGTAAAGAGTCTAGTACTGGCAATGGAGATGATAGATCAAATAGAAAAAGCAGAGCAACCCAGATTGTCATGTCAGGCACCAAAGTTGATTCAATTCATGTTGCGGAAAAGGATAGGAGCATTGTAAAAGACCGGCAACCCAAGAAACATAGTAAAAAGAATGCATCTCAACAAACATTCAATGGTGTAAATTTATTGGGAAGGGATTTGGGATCCGGGCATGTTTCTTTGGCTGCCACTTCAAGCTCTTCAAAGGTTTCAGGTTCCTATAAAACTAGAGTTAACTTTGAAGAAGTAAAAGGCTCACCTGTGGAATCAGTTTCTTCATCTCCTTCGAGGACCTCCAATGCAGACAGGCTTACTTCAGCAAGGGGAGATGCTTTGGGGATAGATGATTCCGCTTATGGTGGTTTTCCTTTAACAAATAATTCCGAAAGATGCTGGGGTGGGGATGGGACTGTTAATATTGATAGATTGGGGACAACCAAGAAGGAATCGATTTTGTGTAGTAGTCATGCTGAATCCCATAAATTTTCATTAGTAGGCTACGAGGATGGAGATGCCAATGGTGAATTCAATGTCACAGCCAAACCTTCTTGTGAAGTTTGGAATAGCCATTTGCTCTGTGGTAATGATGATGGTTTGGAAAATGGTCAGTGCCTCAGTAATCAGCATGGCATGAATCATTCACATGAAGATGATAGAGAGAACAAGAACTACTCTGGAGATGCTGTTTGTGTGCAAAAATCTGGCAAGGGTTCCTGTTTGCAGTCTAAGGACATTGTTAGAAGTGGCACTTCTAATTTGGATAGGAACAGGATGAAGGTTTCTGATCCAGTGAATGATTACTCGAAGAAGAGTCAAAGATATGTCACTGAGATGGAACCCAATTATGTTCATGAAAAAGGGAATAATTTTAGACACGATCTTCCAGAAAAGTGTAGCACTAAGTGGGTTGAGGTCAAGGATGAAAACTATCATATTGGTAGGGGGGATAAAGCAGGACATGGGTCAAGTGACAGTGGAGTGGAAACTCAACTAAAACGAAAGGACCATGATGCGTCAGATGTGAAGTTTAGTTCCACACAGAGCCCCAATAGGAAGGGCGCCTTGCAACAGAACCTGATTCAGAATCATGAGGGTGGTCAGATGCAACATGAGTCAAGACGTGGGAAACCACAATTGTTTTCACATTGCCAAGGTGAAAGGAAAGAAGAAACACCATCTCTTTGCCCTAGACCTTTTGCAGGGTCTGAGAGAGTAGTCGTGTTTCAAGGGCTTCCAGTTGATACCATTGTCAATGGTGATGTGCCAAAGTCACTAAAGCAGGCTGGGACTGCTGCTAACAAGAATGGAGTTAATTGCAATTTGGTACATCTCATGCCTGATCAACAGAGAGCATTAGATGTCAGTGCGCCAAGTCCTGTGAGAAACTCCTCAGGCCAAACTGCTACTAATACCTTGATAGAAGCCAAGAGGCTTAGAGACTATGCTGATTATCTTAAGGTTTCCTGTTCTCATTTGACTTTTAGTCATCTTTAGTACATAACATAATGGATACAAATTTATTTTTCTGTTCTCTTAACTCATACTGTGTTTTTACTATGTTTTAGAACTCTGGGTTTGATTTTGAAAGTAGTGAGGCTTATTTCCAAGCTGCCCTGAAGTATATCCAAGGAGCCGTGCTTTTAGAAAGTTGCAGTAGTGAGAATGGCAAACATGGAGATATAACTACGTTGCAAGTGTACAGTACTACAGCTAAACTTTGCGAGTAAGTTAAATGCTCTAAGTTTTAAGAGAAATACCCGTTTCTCAACCAGATGACATTTTCTCAGCCAATAGATTCAATTAGCTATTATTTAATGCAGAGATGGCCCATTTTAATTTTATAAAATATGTAATGTACTATACAGTTTTGAAGCTTTTGTTTCTGCATTCCTATAGCTGGTGTTTGGCTCTGTGCTAAACCTTTTGAATTGACAGATTATGTGCCCATGAATATGAAAGCCGCCAAGAAGTGGCCTCTGCTGCCTTGGCTTACAAATGCATGGAGGTGGCATACATGAGGGTTGTTTACTGTAAACATTCTAGTACAAACAGAGATCGGCATGAGTTGCAAGCGACTTTCAATATGGCTCCTCTAGGTAAAGGAGGTTATGAATGATTTATGTGATAATCTTTGGATTTCATGTCAAGTTTCAGTTTTGTTCTTCCACTGGGAGATGGTTGCGATTTCAAGTTATAGGTTATTTATTCTAGTTTGATCGTTTATGTTACTGAACAATCATGTGGTCCCCTTGCTTTTATCACTTACAATTCAGTACATGTTTACTCGAAAATGTCAAGTCTTTAGAGATACTGTCTGTTACTGTTATTTGCAGAACCATACTTATCATATAACTAATAATGAAATATCTACCATTATCTATCTGTCATTTCTGATAAAAATGTACCTGATAGCTTCTGTTGATAAAAACAGCAGAAGGTCCAAATCTGGTGTGTTCTGACCTTTCTACTGAGAAAGAATATCAAACAACTCAACTTTTTTTTTCTGTCTTTAAACTCTCTGTTCAGGTGAGTCTCCATCGTCTTCTGCATCAGATTTAGATAACCTGAACAACCAAGTGATGGCAGACAAGTCTATATTGTCCAACGGAGCTGGTTCTCATGTTTTTGGAAACCATGTTGTTGCTGCTCATAACCGATCTAATTTTGTCAGGCTGCTTGACTTTGTAAGTTGATTCAGTCTCGCACTCAATCTCAATATGAATTTTATGAACTTGCTAAGAATTATTCTTTCAAGGTATTTTGATACTCACTTATTCAGGACCAAAGATTCAGTACTATGAATCATGGATGTATACCGGATAAAAGTGTTAGGAAGCTGAATTAAAATTTCCAGCCACTGGGTATTGCATGTTTTCCTAGATTAGCCAATTGTTATTGGAGTTTCAGCGAAGAAAAAGAAAAAAAAAAAAATATTGTATGAAAGCTTCCAAGCAAGCCTATTTTTTTCCTATAAGCATCTTGAGTGACTTGTGATTATCTTGAAAGTTGATTATTTCTTAATTGACAGCTAACTCAATGCATATCTAGGACTTTTAGTTGGCAGGGTTTCGACAGTAGGCTCATACTAGTTTCTTTTTCACTTCTGTTTTTTTAAAATACTTAGTTGGATTATAAATTCATAGGTCATCCCGTCTCATGTAAGACCAGTAAGATATTTTCGCACAGATTTAAGTGTATGGTAATGGTTTTAAGATGAGTATATATTATTTTGCAGACACAGGATGTAAATTTTGCAATGGAAGCCTCGAGGAAATCCCAGAATGCTTTTGCAGCTGCTTGCGCAAAACTGGGAGATGCACATAAGAATGGTTCTATTTCTTCTATTAGGAGGGTCATTGATTTCAGCTTCCAAGATTTAGAGGAGCTTATCTGTCTGGTTAAGCTTGCAATGGAGGCCATAAGTCGATCCAAATTTGGTGGTGCCAGAGATTAAGTCAACCCTGTATATATTGAACGTTTTCATGCTTTCTCTCCTAAGAAGGCAGGCATCAGGAAAAAAAAAAAAAGGAGAAAGGATGCCCGCCTGGGCCTTCACTTGAAAATTTTCATAGAAGGCCGGTTACTGACAGTTCATTACTCATCTGTACATGTGTACAAAGTGAGATTGATTACCAACTTTTGTAATGTATTTTTTTGCAAGTTAAGTCTATTTTTGATGCCGATAAGGGCAAATCATGCTCAACCATAAGTTTTCATGGGTTGGGAAAAGAGGAATTCATTGTTCAGGAGCACAGCTGGGAGATATTGTAATAGTTCAGTTATATATTTTTTTTAGGCTCCTGTAGTTTGGAGCTTGAGGGTTTAAAAAATGTCTATAGGGATTGGAAGAATATTCTTAGGCAACCATTTTGAGAAGGTTGAATACTGATATAGTGGTGACTGGTCAATGCTCTATCAAGCATTTTTCTGTTTTCTTACTATTTATTAAAATTTTGATGGAATGCAAACCAAATTCTTGGGCAAGGTTCCCCTTATACTTGTAGAACAAAAGCCTAAGCTTTTGTATACGTTGATTGTGCCAACTTTCCAAGGACCGATGCATGAATGAAATCTTCAGGTATGTAATATTTTACTTCACTTTAATGGCAACAAGGGAGGAGTCTTTCGAGTAATGTATTTTTCAATATGTTGAAGTTACCTTGAAACTTTTTTATGTTGGTGTAGGTGATAATCAAAGAACTTTGGTTGAGCAACCCCTGAGAAGTTCAGACTTGTGACCTACATGGTGGAGTACACTCTAGGACCATCGCTGCATGTGAGTTCAAGACTTCCAAGTGTAAGAAAAACAGGTTTTCAAATGTTTTTCTTTTGCAAGAATTACCCTATATTATCCATGTGTTATTCTAATAATAAATTTTGCCTTTTATGTGGTAGGATGTGTCAGTTTACTTCTGCATCAATAACTTGTGATGCTTTGATGTGGACACATGAAATTGTTTTCGCAATTCATGCTATCTGCTTGTGATACACTGAGATTTAAGAGTTGAAGTTCTATATCTAGTTTCAAAAATTTACCAGGGGTTCTTTTTTCTCGGTTGGAGTTGGTTGCTAACAAGTAACTTAGAAATATATTTTTCCTTTTTGTGGGAAAAGGCTTTGTTGTTGTTGTTTTTGGTTTATGTTAAGCTTGCAGTTTGCTATTCTATTATCAGTAATAATATCTTATGCTGTGGTTCATGAGCCGTGACTGTAGTTTCAGTTCAAATGGTCCTGGTGTTGGTCAGACTGGTTTGCTTACCGCATCAACTGAGTGAACGAGTTCATTTTTTCCGTGGCACTCAACTTGTTGGTTTTCATGCTACTTTCACTTGTATTCCATGTGGTGTCATTCATTGTTTTGCAAGCTTGATTTTGCCAATGTCGCCATTGATTGTTGAGTTATCAGCGTTAGATTTACAAAGAGCGAATGAGGTTCTACCTATTATGTTTCGCAAAATTGTAGATCTATCCATGTTGGTGATTGATATGGCTGCTTTATATTGAATTTCAGTGCACAACAATTTTAAATGGCTGAGTTCCGTTTTGATTTGTCTAATGATAAAGTTTTGTAGAGGCAGCCATGCTTGAGGGTGTTCATACCTGTGCACACCACTTTCAGTAACCACTCTCCCATAATTCCATGGTGGTGTTGGTCTCTCTCTCTCTCTCTCTCTCAATTGATTGTTATTCTATCAGCTTATATACGAATAGTTCTTTCTGTTATTTTTAAACGTAGTAAGATAACGGTTTTTCTTCTGTGATGTAGGTGTAGTACATCAATTGTGCTAGATAGGCAAGGTTTTTCTTGATTTGATTCTTGCCTTGAAACGTTAAATATGTAGATTTGAATTAATATCAAGTTTTGTTCTTTTATGATGAGGAAGTCGGATACTTTCCACAGGATACAGGTTTTATCGAATCAGTGTTACTCTACCGGTTTTGATTCACAAAGCGGGATCTTGGTTTAGGAAGGAGAAGACGGTGCTGACTTTGGTCGCTGGCAGCAGCAGGTGCTGGTTATTTACATGTATTTTCTGTTTCTCTTGTTTTTCTTTTTACTCCAACATTGAGTATTCTTTTCAGTGTTGCCTCCAGTATTTTAATTCCTTTGAGTTCTGGAATTTATTTTCTTTCCTGAAGATTTTCTCGAGGCTTCGACCCCTATGGTTGAACAGCTCTCTTGGACTGCCGGAGTAGGAGATCTCTGTTTGAAAACTTTCCGACATGATGAGCATTAGACTGTTAATGCAAAGATGGCTGCTTGTGAATGTGGCAGAAATTTAATCCGAACTCGGAGATTGGAAACGTTGTTTGTTTAAGGCAATGCAAGGGCCAGACGTCTTTTGCTACTTTTTGGAGAATTCATGGGTTTTTCATGTGTCCTTTGGGAGAAAGAGATTCTCTATTTGGGACGTCTTGAAAAAATCTACTCAATTTTCTTCAAGTTTGGTGTCGTTTATTATTTAGGTTTTAAGTGGAACGCTTCAATCCATATGGCGCTTACTTTGAGTCAACTGAAGCTAGCTTTTTCTTCAATTCGCAATGTCTTTAAGAAAGACTGGACGTTCTGCATAGAGAAAAACTGCCTTCGGGGATCAATATTAAATATCCGTAATTATTAAGGATATAAACACAAACTGGATACTAATTACCAAAAATCCGTACAAGTGCAAGAGCCACTTTTGAAGTGATGAAATCTATTAACATCTCTAACAACAAATTCCCTCTCGACAATCTCACTAATTAACTTGAAAGCTTCATGACAATCCCTACACATTCTCAAGTTCTTCATTATTCTTATGATCACTCCCTTCGGTATGCTTATCAACGCAAATCCCAACGCTAATCTCTCACTGTGCAAACCTACAGTTTCCTCCTTGGCCTCCTCCTCCACATCCACAAAGACCAGTCCCAAACTCCCTCCTACATACCCTCTTTGTTTCATTTTCCCTTCCAAATCCCTCAACAAAGCCACCACCTCGCTCCCTCGCGCACAGGATGACACATCTCCGGCATAGAATACATAAGTTGAGTCCTTGACCTCAACCCAGCTGCATCCGGGTTCTTTTTGCACTCCTGTACGCCTCATTTCTGACCTAAGATCATGAGAGCTCTCCCACTCTCCGTTCAATGCGTAAGCATTTGATAATGTGACGTATGCACCCGCTACTTGTTGATTAGAGTCTATTAGCCGTCTGCTAGCTTCAACAGCGATGTCTACCCTTCCGTGAAGCCTACTCGCCGAAAGAAGTGTGCCCCACAACAAGGCCTCTTGGTTTGGTTCTGTTGGGATAGATTTGGCTAGTTCGTAGGCCTCGTTGAGCCGGCCAGTTCTACCAAGCATATCAACGACGCACGTATGATGCTTTGCATTCGGTAATATTCCATGCTTCTCAAACATAGATTCCAAGTGTTGGAGGCCTTCATCTACTAGCCCTGAATGGCTACAAGCATGCAAGACCCCAACAAAGGTGACATCGTTCGGTTTTATTCCTCTATCGATCATTTGTTGAAAGAGTTGAAGAGACATTCTCCCAAGTCCGTACTTTGCTGCAGCCACAATCATTGAAGTGTAGGGTATTACAGTAGGATTCCGAATCCTCCGGAAAACCTTATCAGAATATTCAACACACCCACATTTAGCATACATGTCCACCAGTGCACTTGCAATCACATCATTCGAATCATGGCTACCCCGAATTACTGATCCATGTGCAACTTTCCCAGAAGCTAATCTACCCAAGCTTGCACAAGCATTGACAACACTAGCCAACATAAAATGATTTGGGCGCTCTGACGTCAAATGAATAAATTCTCGAAAAAGTTGAAGCGCTTCCTGCCCCTGCGCGTTTTGTGCATAAGCACAAACAATTGAAGTCCATGAAACAACATTCCTACAACTCATCGAATCAAAAACCCGTTGAGCACTATCGACATCATTGCACTTCCCGTACATATCAACCAGCGAAGAGCAAACAACAAGGTTAGATTGAAAACCCAAAACTTCAACAAGCCCATGAACTTCCTTCCCAGTTCTGAGATGAGCAAGGATCGAACACGCATTAATCACAGTCGCGAATGTGAACTCATTGGGAATAACCGAACACTCGGGCATCTTCCCAAAGAGCCAGAGAGCCATTCCAGGCTGACCCGTGTCGACATAACCAGCCATGAGCGAGGTCCACGACACAACGTTTGGTTCCGGCATTTCATCAAACAGTTGGCTTGCAAAGTTGATTCTTCGGAGCCTGACATAACAGTTGATGACATGGTTTGTGGTGAAGGTGTCATATAAATAACCGGATTTTATAGCGGCGGAATGCAGTGACTCTGCGGAGCCGGAATCTTTACAGTGCCGGAGCTGTTCAACGAGATGAAAAATTGACGGTTTATTTTGGCGGGAAAGGTTTGAGGCGGTGAGGGCAAAGATGAGATTTTGGTTCAAGGGGTTTCTCATTTGTCTTGCGCGCTGTCACACGCGAGGATCTTTCTTGTTTATAACATGAAAGGCCAAACGACGACGTTTGGTAACCAATGGTTTTCGCATATTCCACTCAATTTTTTATCCTCTTTTCATATATGCCCCTTATTAATAACCCAAATGTTAATCGCACCAATATTTCTAGGGTAAATTACATTGTACTCCCTCAGGTTTGAGGTTGATTTCAATTCCTTACAACATCTTTAAAACATTTCAATTTCATACATTTACTTATCATTTTATTTCAATTTCATACATCCGTTAGAAAATCTGTTAAGTAAACTGTTAAGTGATGATGTGGCAAATATGAGGTCCTTATTTATACTGATGTGGCTGCCACATTTATGCCACGTGACTAAAAACTTAATAAACAAATTTAAAATATTAAAATAATTATTTAAACAAAAGTTTAAAATAAATAAAAAACAACCAAAACCCATATCCCCATCCTCTAAGTTTCGAGAAGTATCTGTATTTCGCAACAGACGAGGATGCCCCCGAACCACATGGTCCTCGTTGGACCAGAACTCCCACAATGACCTCTTCATCATCCACATCGCCATGACATTGGATACCATCTACCTTCGTGACTTTGTTGCCGACGTCTTCTCAGTCATCCGTCAAGCTACCTACCCCGAAAACATAGTCTTTCACTTCACCGCCGCCTCCCATTGCAGTTGCCGCTCCTCCAACCTCCATCACATCATCACCTCCACCTTCCACCTCTACCACTTCGACTCCAACCTTGTCCGGGGCAAGATCTCATACTCCGTCCATTGCGCCCTTGATCAACCCTTAACTGGGTAGCAGGCCGAGGCTTCATGAAGGTTAATGGGGTCTTGGGAGAGGTCTATGTGCGAGGCCACTTTCTTCTAGGTGTCAGTGAAAGTTGAATCCACTAGGGCAGTCTCAGCGACATCGGTGGAGAAGGGCGGGGCCTTAAGGGAAATCGTGGATTGGGTCAAGAGGGTGGTGGCTCGGCGGAAAATGGTGGCAGAATAAGGGATAGCACGGGTTTTGTAAGGTCGAAAAGAGAGGATGAAAGATTGGGGGTGGTGAAGAGAGTGGAAGAGAATGAGGTGGTTATGAGGCTTATGAATGAGAAGAAGGGTGGGGTTTTGCGTTTTTAGTTTTTATTTTTTATTTTTTATTTTTTTGCCACGTAGCACAAATTTGGTAGCCACATAGTACAAATGTGGCAGCCACGTCAGTTCTTAACGAATCAATGGATGAAAAATGTAACGGATGTATTATATTGAAATAAAATAGTACTTCAGGTATGAAATTGAAATGTTTTAAAGATTTTATAAGAAGTTGAAATTGATCCCAAACTTGAGGTGTTAAAGTATAATTTACCCATACTTCTATTTTTTTTATTTAATTTCTTTTTGAATAATACCTAGGTACGCTCGTCCTTAAGAAATACAAGAGTTGTGACCAGTCCCGTCTGAATCCTCTCTCAATTTTTTATTTTCAATTTTTTAAGACATCATTGATATTTGACTTTTCCTTTTCTTTTCTTCACATATATCAACTTGAATTGCTTTTCATCGAAAATACATAAATTAATTTCAAAGAAATTGCATTTGGATTTGAATTTTATCTCTCTAGCTTGGTATTTTAATGTTTTGACATGCTAGAAGGTGAATCAATGTGTCGTGAACTTATTTGCAAGATCTTATCTGAAGAACCTTACTGAATTCACCTTGAAACAGATTCATGTTCATATTTTGACATTTTGATCTGACGGTCGGCCAACCATCTTCAACAGAAGCACAAGTTAAACCTACCAAAGGACTCCTTGTCAAGTTTCAGTTTATGCAGCATAAGACTTGTCGTTCATGTCGTTTTCATAACATACTAAGATAAAAGTGTTTAGGGTTTGAATTGTGTTATGTTATTCTTCTCCTTCAAGGAGGCTAAATATAAGATACAACTTGTAATACAAGTAATATTAAAAGAATTATAACCAAACTAGGAAACATAGTTATATTCTTAATCTAATTTGGGCTCACGCCAACACTCTCCCTTAAATTGGTGCATGGATATCACCTAGGCCCAACTTGTCGAGTGAGTCTTGAAACCTTCTTGCGGAAACTGCATGAGTTAGGATATCTGCCAACTGCTCTTCTATCTTCACGAATGGAATATCAACCAACTTAACATCCAACTTTTCTTTGATGAAATGTCTATCCACCTCAACATGCTTGGTCCTATCATGCTGCACCATATTGTTAGCTATCTCCCATGCTGCTTGATTATCACAGTATAATAGCATAAAACCTTTTGGTTTAAACCTTATCTCAGTGAGTAGAATCCGAAGCCATAGAAGCTCATAAATACCATGTGTCATTCCTTTGTACTCAGCCTTGGCCGAAGACCTTGCCACCACATTTTGCTTCTTACTTCTCCATGTCATAAGATTTCCAGCTACAAATGTGGAGTATCCCGATGTAGACCGCCGATCAGTAATATTTCCAGCCCAAACAGCATCGGTATACCCTTTCACCTCCATATAGCCATGCTTTCTATACATCAAACCTTTTCCTGGGGCTCATTTTAAGTAACTAAAAATTCGCATTACTGTTGCCCTATGATCTTCACTAAGAGCATGCATAAATTGATTCACTACACTTATTGTGTAAGCAATATCTGGTCTTGTAAGCGACAAGTAAATCAACTGCCCTACCAATCTTTAATACCTTTCCTTATTCATTGGGACTTGATTCTAATAAATTGCTAGATGATGATTCTGCACAATAGGGGTATCCATACTAGTTTTAGACAAAATATCCAATATATACTTTCTATGAGATCAGTATATTCCTTCCTGAGACCTAGCCACTTTAATTCCCAATAAGTATTTAAGTCCTCCAAGATCTTTCATCTCAAACTCAGAAGACAAATGTCCTTGCAGACGTTCAATTTCCATTGTATCATCACCTGTGACAATCATATCATCCACATATGATAAGCAGAGTTACCTTGTTATCCTTATGTTTGATGAATAACGTATGGTCTGCATTTCCCTGTCGATACCTATACTTCTTCATCGCCTAGGTGAATCTCCCAAACCACGCTCTAGGTGATTGTTTAAGGCCATACAGTACCTTTCGAAGTCTACACATTTTCCCACTGGAGCTCGCAGTGCCATAACCTGATGGAATATCCATGCACACCTCTTCCTCTAAATCACCATAACATCAAACTGTCTCAGAGGCCAATCATGGTTCGCAGCAAGAGATAATAAAACTCTAATGATATTCATCTTTGCAACAAGAGAAAAAGTCTTCTGATAATCAACCCCAAATGTTTGGGTAAAACTTTTGGCCACTAGCCTCGCCTTGTATCTATCAATTGTTTCATCTGCCTTATGTTTAATAGTGAACACCCATTTACACCCCATTGATTTCTTTCCTTTAGGAAATGGGACCACATTCCATGTATTATTCTTTTGTAGTGCTTCCATTTCAACTTGCATTGCTTTAGTCCATTTCGAATCTTTCAAAGCTTCTTCCACTATGGTAGGTGTTTTGATGGTTTCCATTTGCTGAACAAATGCACGATATTTTGGTGAAAGTCGATAAGTAGAGACATAGTTTGAAATGGAATACCACATCTTTCCTTCTGGAAAGTACCTATCTGGTGGTTTTCCTCGATTTGGTCGAGGAGGCAACATATAAGATGGTTCAATAATTTCCAAGTGAGTATTTACCTTGGGAATATTCGTTGGATCATGGACTGACACTGGAGAAGTCTGAGAGGGGTTTTTACTCAAGTTGTTACTCAAACAAATAACATATGGCCTATTTGGGCAATTCGACGCAGCAGGAAACCTATTTGGGCTATTGGCAGACACAAGAGAGGGCCCAAGCCCAATTGGGTTGTCGGCTGGTGTAAAAGACAATCAACATGGGATGTTCCATCACGGTCCTGTGGTCTCTCTGCAAGCCCCGGTTCATTATCCTCTAATTCCAACCTGTGTCTTGGGCCTTTATTATCCTCTAGATGTAGCCCATGTCTTGGGCCTTCATTATCCTCCAGATCCAGCCCGTGCCTTGGGCCTTCATTTGGGCAGTCAATACTTAAACTAGTAAAGATATCGAACCATCCATAATCTTTACCTACGAATATCTCCCCCAAAGGAGTATGGTTGGGAAGAAAAAATAATTCATCTTCAGATAAGGTAACATCTATAGTGACGTAGACATGTCGGGTAGGTGGATGATAACAACGATAACCCTTTTGTTGTGGACTGAATCCAATGAAAACACACCGTACAACACATGGATTAAGTTTGCTTCGTTGATTTTTGTGAAGATGGACATATGCCACACAACCAAAAACTCGAAGTTCGAGATGAAGGGTGGAGGGGAGCAAAGCATGATCGGCAAGCACGGCCAAATGTGTTTTAAAAGATATAACACGTGATGGCATTCGATTCATGAGATAAATAGCATAGGTGACTGCATCAGCCCAATATGTCTTGGGTTCACAACTACTAATAAGAAGGGCACGGGTAATCTCAAGTATATGCCAATTTTTCCGTTCGGCGACTCCATTTTGTTGTGAGGTCTGAGGGCACGAAGTTTCATGGAGAAAGCCTTTTTTTCGTAAAAAACTAGGAAAGTTCCTGATTAAGATACTCACCACCGTTGTCTGATCGAAACACTTTAATAGTGAGTGAATATTGAGTATAAACCATGTGATAAAAACTTCTAAAGATACTACCCACATCGCTTTTATTTTTCATGAGGTACAACCAAGTCATTCTGGTGCAGTCATCAACAAATGTTACAAACCAACGCACACCATGCTGAGTAGTAACCGGAGATGGCCGCCATACATCAGAATGAATTAGCTCAAAATGAATTGCTCTTCTATTCAAACTCGAGGGATAAGAAGCTCGATGACTTTTGGTTAATGTGCAAACATTACACTTTAATGAAGAATCTGAAATATTACCAAATAATGACGGA